TAGAAGAAATGAATCCCCAGTCAAGAGAGTCAAATGCTTTTTGAAGGTCTATCTTGATAGCACACCTTGGAGAAATAGACTTTCTTCCATAGCCTTTAACTAGGTCTTGGGCTATAAGAGTATTGTCAAAAATATTTCTACCCTTAACAAAGGTTGTTTGATTTAGGGTAATTATATCAGGAAACAAGTTTGTCAGCCTTTTGACAAGAATTTTAGTTATTGCCTTATAGACCACAGAGCAACAGGAGATGGGTCTATAATCTGTTACCTTGCTAGGATTAGTGATCTTAGGAACCAGGGCAATAATAGTAGAGTTAAAAGTTGGTAAAATGAAAGAGTTATGGAAGAAGTATTTTACAGCTTTTATCACATCCTCACCAACCACTGACCAGGTTGATTTAAAGAAAAAATGAGTATAACCATCAGGGCCATCTAAATCTGCTAATGCTTCATAGGACATATTAAGATGAAGCAGATTTTTTAGAACTTGAGGATCACTGCCTTTTATATTCGGATCAACATCGCCCAACTGTTTTTTAAAAAATTGAATAACTTCAGAGGCCATGTCATTAAAATCTTCAAGTTTGTTGCCTTGATCATTCACTAGAACTCTAATCGTATCTCTCTAAATCTACTAAAGCTTCAGAGGACAGATTAAGATGAAGCATTTGTCACCCTCCTTGAGCCATTGAATTTTAGCCTTCTATTTTAAGAACATGTTTTCAGCTTGTTCAAGAGAATAGAGCTCACTCTGAATAATAAGCTCATATTCGATAGAAGTAGTTCTGTTGAGAGTAGAGAGCTGAATTTGTTCAAGCTCAGCTTTCTTTTGCTTGACTCTAGCATAAATGTTGTTGTAACAATCCTTGTTTAAATTCCTCAAGCAAGTCTTAAGATTCTTTAGTTTGAGGAAAATTGATATCATAGGGTTTCCTTGTGTTGATTGTTGCCAAGAGCTCTGAATTTCATGAATGAAACTAGGGTGCTTGGTCCAAAAGTTAAAAAATTTGAAAGGTTTGGGGTGATTAGTATAGGAATCTTTGTTGAGCCAAACAAGAGCCATACAATGATCAGAGGGCCCTGGTGCAAGAAATTCCACAAAAGAATTATGAAAGGAGATTACCCAATAGGAATTAACAAGAACTTTGTCAAGTTTCCTAGCAAGTTAAGAATCTTTTTGTTTATTGCTCCATATGAAAGTTGGCCCAAAGAAAGGATGATCCTGAAGAAGAAGATCATGGATAGTGTCTTGAAAATCTTTCATATCATTGGTAGTGTAAGGACTCAGAATGTCATGGTCAGAACTTTCAAAAGATTGAAGATAGATATTAAAATCACCCTCTAAGATCCAAGGAAAAGATCCAAAATTAGAGTCAATATCTTTTAAGTGTTGCCAAAGCTGTTTTCTTTTAGTACCATCATTGTTACCATAAATAGCTGAGATAAAAAAAAGGGACACCATTTCGAAGACCTTTAGCAGTGATACTTTGGCCAGTAGCTTGACAGAATGATAAATCCAATTCTTTTTTCCAAATGAACCAAATCCTTCCATTTGAAGCATAATCATAATTTTTGTAGAAGTTCCAATTACTGAATTTGAGTTTTAGAATTGCTTCAAAATTTTCAAGTTTAACCCTGGTCTCTAGTAGACAAAGAACATCAACCTTGTAGAGAATGTCCCTGTGCAGAATTTTATTCTGGTTTTTAGGATTATTCAATCCTCTAACATTCCAGAAGCAGAAAATCATTGAGATGAAGAAGTTAATTCACCCCCAATAACTTTGTCAGATACATAGTTAGACTTGTCTAGATGTTCATTCTTTTTAGATTTTAAGTCTTTGATTAACAAAGCCACTTCTAAAGCAGCAGATCGAGGTTTTTTGCTGAGATTCTCTAAGGAGGGAGAGGTTTCATCAACTGTACTTAAGACCTCAAATCTATTGGAGGATCCTTTTAATGATGTCTTTTTTTTTTTACAGGTCGACATCTTCCTCTTTTAGGAACATTAGAAGATTCAATAACATTTCCAAGAGGAGAATTAGTCAGTCCTTCAGCAGTAGAGTCAGTGTGAGGTATAGGAATTATAGAAGTATTGCAGACTTCAGTAGAATCAGGAAATGATGAAGGTGAATCATTGATGGCAGAAGGATCAGAAACAATAGATACAATTTGAGGTACAAAAGATATTGAAGTATTGCAGACCTCTTTAATATCAGGAAAAGATAGAAGTTGATCATTATTGACAGCAGGATCAAAGGGTGTCATTGAAGAGCTAACTGTTTCTTTAGAAGGTTCTTTTTGTTTTAAAGGATTCTCATTCTCTGCAGGAGAATCAGAGGACAAATGAGCTTAGGAAGAATCAGAGTTACCAGGAAGATTAGATTGCACAGCAGGGAGTGTTTCACCTTTTTTCCTCCAAATTTGTAAATTAGTAGGAGCTGAAACTTTAGAAGCGAGCCAGGCTTTCTCATTATGACCAAACTTGTTACATTTTTGACAACTATGTGGAAGCCAAGGAACTTCGACAAAAACAGTTGTTGTTTGGCCATTTGCAAGAATAACATCTATAGAATTAGAGATTTCATCTTTCACTCCAACCTCAATACATACTTTAGCAAACTCTAATCTTGCTTTTGAGGCAGTGACTGAGTCCATGGTTAGTGGGTTTCCTATGGCACTAGCTATGTAGCAAAGGCCCTCTCTCGAAAACAATTCGAGAGGTACATTGAAGAGATGCACTCACAGAGGAATTTTACAAAGATTGAATTGAAGTCTTTTAGTATTAGGTTCCTATTTCCTTAGGATTAGAGGCTTATTCAAGATATGCCATGGACCATTATGCAGCACCCAATCCCTCGCAGAATCACTATTGAATGAAAAAATGTAAAGATTGTTGTCTGGGAAGCTTACCTAGACTCGTACGCCTTTTGAATGGTTGTTCCATAAATTCTCGACCATCCTTTGCATTGTTGTAAAATTGGGTGCAACCCCTAGAAATTGACCCACCAATGAAGAACCCCATTCAGCAATTCCTGCTTCGAAAACTTCTGGTGGTGGCTGGACAATAGGGATTGAGTCGCGTGTTTCAGGGGGGAAATATTGTAGCTCTTGCCCATATTGACATCCAAATAGCTTCCTCCAGTCCATTGAAAGAGAGTGAAACAACACCAAAATGAGGAGAGAGCAAGACGGATTAAGAAGGATCACCGGAGACACACCAGATAAAAAAACGTTTCAATGTAAACATTAAACTTTAATTTTAGATTAATTATAATACTAGAAATATCATGACGTGTTACTAAAATTATATTATTCTTTTAAATAATAGTTTTTAAGTGTTGTTTTGTTAAATAAAAAAATAAAAAATATGGGTTGAAATATAGGTACCGTCTATTGTTGAGATAATGTAAGACTAACAATTTTATTGTTGAAATTTATTCATTTTATCAAATTAATTATTTCAAATAAAAAATAAAGAAATAATTAAAAATAGTATTAAACTGCTATCAAAATTGTTCTTCATACAAAATTTTTACAATGATTTAGATGATACTATTTTCTTCATCGTTCTTTCCTTTATTATCTAATTTTAAATGTTTTACTGACTTAAAATATAAGTAAATTTTGATTACAATAATTAAATTAACTTATATCATAACAAAAAGCGTTAACTTAAAATCCCACGCTCATGTAAAATCATATTAAATCATTTATAGATATTTTTAAAATACTACTCCGTCCTATTAAAATTGTTTCTTGTTAACTTTTTAAAAGTAAATTTTTTAAACTTTTTAACTATAATTATTTTATACATTTCAAAAATTAAATTTTATAAATTATATATTTTAAAACTACTGTTTAGTTCTTTTAAAATATTTTTGTATATTTTTATCAATAATAAATTTTAAAAAATAAAGAGTCAATAATAGACATTTTAAGTGGAAAGGAGATAGTAGTATTTAAGTTAATCAAATTTATAGAATTTAACTAGTATCTTACAGCATGAATAACTTAACTAAATGGAAGAAGATCGTTGTTTTTAAAGGTCATAGAAACATATATTACTTTGCAATCACCTTAGATTAATAAAAAAACTAGTATCTTATAGATTCATGTCAATATTTTTTAATTTAATATTGAAGATTCTTTAATAATTACAAATACAATTTAATCAAAAGTGCTTATAAATAATTTTCTATCCAACTAGTAATCCCACATTTCAACCATATGTACCAAGAAAAATTATAATTAATACTTCAAGTACCTTCCTTACATTTCAATAATATCATTTTAGGAGTTTTGGGCACACGAGAAAACAGTATCAACTTAAAACTAATTCAACATGTTTCAGTAGCAAACCTTTAAGTAGTTAAAAGATGTTCTCTTCAGCCCTCTAGGTCGAATTCCTCTGGCTGTGATTTTCTCTTGAAGGTCACAGATACCGCTTCCTTGCTGAAGATTGCCTGATTTTCTCTTTGGGACAAAAGTCAACGACTTCAGAAGATCACGAGGTGCATCATCGTGTTCTGACAATGATTCTGTAGATTTTGAGCTTGAATCAAGCTTAAGGACATCGTCCCAAGTTTGAGCATTAGATTCTTCACCAACTTCACTTGATGAACAGAAACTATAGCATGTATACCTGGAAGGATTTCGTAAATAATCTGGAAGAGATCTGGCATGTTCAGCCGGTAGAGCTACATCAGCTGTGAACCTTCAGAATGATTGTCCTCAGACTCTTCAAACTGCTCTTCCGGATCATTTTTATAAGCACAGTCGAACCTCACCCTCTTTTGCGGCTTGAAACCCGTACCAATGTCTTTCCTTTTTAATATAGACCTAAATTGGCAAACATTATTGGTTTCCTTCACGTCTAATGATTCCCTAATTTCTGAATTTGGCATATCACGATAATTGACTTTCTGACCTTTTTCATCATCTTCTTTCAGCCTGATTTTTGCTACCATATGATTTGCGCGGTGGTCCTTGCTACTAGTATGGTTCAATGCTCTTTGAAGGATATAATGAGAATTCAAAAAAGACCCATGATCAGTAATGTCATTCATATAAAGGCGTTCACCAGCATTTTCTCTGCCTGAAGCCACTGTCATATTGGTCTTCCTCTTCCTATGACACACAGTAAACAAAAATCAGCTCAACCGCAGATAGATTGAAGGAGAAAAGGAATAGGTGGGGTGTAAAACACACAGGCACTCTGCACACATAATATTCACCACATTCTTTTCAAATGCGTTGAACAACTGAAACAATTTCTCCCCCATACTCACTCAACGTAAGATTCCTTTTCTTGTTATGGAGCTAGAGCGCAGAATAAATAAATCAAATCACATGAGATTTGAGAACCATTGAAGTTAGCATAAGTAACAATGTATTTTAGTTAATTCAGCACAGTAAAGGCATGATACTAAGTTCAAACCATCTTCGTATACTACTCCAGATGTGCCTAACGCCTTCAATCCGTCCATAAAAAATTGTAAAGGCTGCAGGTTTTCAATCATCTCAGAAATGAAGGGTTCTTCTTCTTCTTCCATAATTAACCTGATTTATTCGTATAATTCTAGAGTAATAAACGTTCATAAGATCCAATTTCTAGGCCGAAAAGCTTCTAAGACCACTCATCTAAGTATTTCCTTAAAAAACTCAGCTTAATCGCCCGTGATAATCAAAATTTCTTAACCTAAATAACCAGATAATTTTCGTACAAGGCGGAATAAATAACCAAACAGAACAAACGTTTAAAAACCAAATTAAAGAATAGCTAAATAATTTTATACAGTTTAGAAAACGAAAGAAAATTTAATATACCTCGTTTTCGAGAGTGAAATCCATTCCGATATAAGATCTGATCTCCAACTCATCTCCATAATCGTCATTTTTTCTACTAAGCGACCGACTCGAACCTCTATAATCTTCATTGTCGTCGTTATCGTTATCGAGATCATCCTCCAGTTCTTTACGTCTTCCACTCCTATACTTCCTTTCCTCCTTCAAGAACTCATCAAACGACGACGAACACAACGTATCCTCCCGATCGGCGTTGGATTCTCTCCTCCATTCCCTCCTCTCGACCTCATCATCTGAGAGAGACCAGAGAGGCGGTCGCTGCTGCTGCTGCTGCTGCGGCTGAGATGAAGATTGCGAAGATTGGAGAGTTCCGAAGATTTTTTGCACTCGGAGTTTAAAGTTATCGCCCATGGTGCGTTCGAAGTTGGCTTTGGGAACCGGCTCTGGGGATTTTAATGTTTCAATCCACCGCCTTTTGCTCGCTCAGGGTTCTGTTTTAAATTATTTGGGGTAAATTTAAGGGTAAATTAGACCCATTAGTCACCAATATATTGCTTCTATCCTATATTGGTCACGAAATCAATTTTTTATTTTTATTTTCAGACATAGAACTGAGATAATGGTTTTTTATTTTTAAAATTTTCCATTATTTCCATTTTTTTTTCTTCTCATTAACATTCCGTGTATTATTTTTTAATATTTCTTTATTAATATAATTTTGACATGTAACATCAAAATTAATACTCATTTGAATACTGGGGTAACCAAAATTAAATTTTCGGTTACCCTAGTATTCAAATGATTATTAATTTTGATGTCACATGTCTTAATTATATCCGGTTTGTTCTCATTTATTTTTAAAAAAAGCTTGGGTACCTATTTGAATATTAATCTAAGTCTTTGCTTTTTATCAAATGAGTATTAATTTTTTGCTTTATTCTAATTCTAGTTACCCTAATATTCAAATGAATATTAATTTTGATGTCACGTGTCATAATATTTCTTTATTAATGTCTAATTATATTCATATGACACGTGACATCAAAATTAATACTCATTTAAAAAGAGTAAAAAGTTAGGGAGTGGGAGGTTGTGCTTGTGCCGTGGGCATTTGGTAACCAAAAGGGAAAGCTGGTTTTAAATGCACGAAAGAATGGTTTATAGGGGAGGGGGGGAGGGGAGGAGGCGAGGGCTGGCATTATAAAGTAATAATGCAATGGGTTGTGTAATAGTTGGATGTAGCTGTTGAGTTGAGGTTAGATATCTGTGCAATTATGTGATCATGTGCATTCAATTTATATATTATAGTTGTGGTTCATGCAATTTAATATTTGTTTTCATCACACCACTTGATTAGAAAATAAATTTTCAAATTATACTACTTTTTCTAAATAGGTGCCCAAACTTTTTTTATTCATTCAAGTGTCAAACGATACAAATGTTATTACTTTAGATGCCTCGGTTGTAACGACCGTTAAAGGACATGTGTCACGTTTTGGTAATTTTAAAATTTTATTTAAAATTTAAATTGAAAATTATTTTTAAAAACCCCCCAAAAATTTCAACAAAAAAAAACTTTGAAATCCCTAATTTACACTCCTAAACTCATGTTGTCCGCCGCCTTTTTCCATCAAAGAACCTCCACTTGAAGTTCAATAACCCCATGAAAAGCCACTAGAACAAGAGCTAATCAACGGCTAATCGACGTATGTACCATGACGAACCCGATGTTGCAAATCGTGACCCCGAGCAATCTTGACGACTAATCAACGATAAGGATGACATCGAATGACTAGGAAGATGGCAAGGAAGACGTCGACAGTAGTGGCCGAAAGTAACGATGTCAACATGTTAGAGATTTAGGATTTTTTTTAATTTAAGAGAAATTAGAGTTTTTTTATAAATAATAATATTTTTATTTTTAAAAAATAGAATTTTCAAAATTATCTAAATGTGACAGGTGTCACTTAACGGAGAAATTTAACGATCGTTACAGTCCGAACACCTAAAGTGGCAACGTTTGTAACGTTAAACACTTAAATGAAACAAAAAAAAGTTTAGGTACCTATTTGAAAAAAAAAAGTATAGTTTATAAATTTATTTTCTAATTAAACCTATATATTTTTTGCTGGTTTGATCTACGTTCAAAGGTGAAAATAAAAAAATTCAAAATAAAATATTTATAAAAATTGATTAATTAATATCTTCTGATGTTTGAATGATTTTACGTAAAATATTATATTTTGTGAAAGTATTTTTTAAAATTTATTTTCATTTGATACTACTTTATAATCGCTAGTTTAATCAGAAAATTGGGGGATAGTATTTGGGAGTAGATTTGTTTATGTATCGAGTTGTGTTGACTTCTATAATTTTTCTGAACTTGACCTGGTAAATTATTCATTTCACTATTTAAAAATAAATGAAATATAATATTTTCCTGATATTTATGTAGCATATGTAATTAAATATTAGAGAAGTCCACGGGCTGAAACTGACTGAGATTCAATTTTAAATAATGTATAGCCCTAGACGCGCACAAAAAAAATGAATATCCAATTTTACGTAAAAAAATATCTGAAATCGGATTTTAAAAAAAATCGATTTTTTTTTAAACCTGATCAGATATTTTAAAACATGATAGTATAACCGATTTAGGAAAAAATTAGACGACCGGATTTTTTACCAGATAAAAAACCTGTTTGAAAAAAACCTGATAAAAAACTAATTTTTTATCCGAAAAAAAATCCGATTTGGGGTTTAAAAATCCGATTTGGAGTTTAAAAAATTGGATGACCGGATTTTTTACCAGATTAAAAATCGAAATTTTTACCGGATTGAAAACCGGTTACATCATCCGGCCCTCCAAACCGATTATAATCCAAACCGATTTTTTTATAAACCGATTTTTTGGCTTAATGAAAAAACCGGATAGGTTTTTATCCGATCCGGATCGGATTTAAATCCGGCTATGTGCATCTCTAGCCCTGACCTAAATTTGACTCATTTGATTACTTATTTTTATCTAAAATATGATAAATATTGAAATAAATAATTTTATATTAAAAATTTTAAATTTTACCATTAAAATAAAATAAAAATAATTAATATTCACGTAAGGTTGGACTGTGAACTCAAAGTCATTGCTCAAATCTTTTGAACTCATTAGCAGGCACAGGAATCATGAGCTGGGAAAATACTGCTACAGAAATCTAACCTCAGCTGAATCTAGACGACACTGCAGCTTATATTTTGATGTTTAACCGATATGCTTCATCTGGGAAATAGGGAACAGTTATTCTGGGGAAGATGATAGTGCAGCTTATATTTTGATGTATGGAAGCAACATATTATGCTTAAATACACCTGATCGGTCATGTTACTGAAGCCTATACTAGCTTTGGAATTCAATTGCTTGGAAATGCAACTTGAAGCTCCCATCATAATGCATATATATATGTATATATACAACATTGAGTGATAAGCAACTGGGAACAAACAAACAAACAAATGCAATTTTCAAATTTTCAGTTTCAGTTCACTTACGATCTCCATCTGTATTCTCAAGAACTCTCAACTGTTGAGAGATCAGAATGCTTCCGGTAACGGACGCCCCGCCAAAAATGCCTTGAACAGAACCAGTGATCTCTCCGGCTGCGAGAACGGGGCTTCATGAGATGCTCCTCTAATTGTGGCAAAGGATAGGATGTTACCATAAACTTGAGTCCACCCTCCAACCTGCAAGCAAATGGTAATAGCATCATATAATAATACAATCATAGTTCAGAATTCAAAAGTCTTTCATTGAAATTTACCTGGTGTCCCTCGAACCAAACTCGGTAAGCCACGGTTGTCCTCAAGCCTAATTCCTTGGCCAGTTGATCGACTAATGTTCGGCTCCCAGTCAATGGGATAACAGAATCTTGATCTCCGCTGTATTTAAAAAGAGACTCTTGTGAGTACTATACTCAGAGAAACATGAAGAAAAGCTTTCACAGTGGACCATTTTACCTGTACACCATGACTGGAATTCCAGCTTTCACGAGTCTGCCGACAATAGTGATCGTTGGTATCTCAATATCTAGCAGTTCATAGTCTAGGACACTACGAGAAAATTACAAGGAAGAATGCATAAGCACAAAGTCTCAAATCTCAAATCCAAATAAACAAGGTGAATCATTGGATATAAGTTCTGCAGTAGAGAATTACTTGCTGCAAACAGCCCATTTACGGACTCCGACGAGACGAGCATGGAGAGCCTTCTGCACATCTTGCCTGTTTAGATAATTAACCGTTTCATCTTCCACACAGACATCTATTTTCTCACCAACTTGCTGTTTAGGCAAAGAAACCAGAGTTAGAAACAAGTAACAAAACCTAGACTAGAACGTTAGACATTTACAATTGAACTCACTTGGGGACCAAGGATTTCGGATTGCGAGAACACCGATGATATGCAGACATCAAGTGTAACATCATACTTGTTGACAAATCGACTGGTTTCGGTACTCACTTGGCTCATCACCCTTGAACAAATTGGAGAAGCGTTCCCTCTATAGTACTCGCTGACGTATCTCGAGTAGTTACAAGAAGTTGTGAACAATTTGTACGTTGAATCCGATATCAGCCCATGAGACCAGAAGAATTCAGCCCTCGAATTAAAATCAGTAGCAAATTCCAAAACAGGATTACCAAGCTGCAATCAATTGGAGCAAACAAGCGAATTAAAAGAGAAAAAACAACACCAGAACAAGGACTGAAAATTTCTTCACCGAACTACTCACGGCTATTCCTTTCAAATTGAACAGTTTTTCCTTCTTGTTAAACTGAGTGATAAGCTCTGCAAGCTGAGGTATATAATGACCTGGTTTTAGACATAAAAAGAAGAACACAAAATCAGTGCTGTGTCAATTTCACACCAAAAGAAACAGTAACATGTAGCAAAATGATACCAGCATAGCTTTCTCCTGTAATGAAGAGGCTTCTGTTCCTGTAGTGGGGGAATTTGAGGAACCAATTTTGCAGAAAAACCAGATTGTCCCTAGCTACAATAACAAAGAGAGACAAAGTTTGAAAAAAGACGAACTTTTTACAGAAAACAAGGAGAGAGAAACAAGAAACAAAACAAGAACGGTGAGCAATGAATGTTGCATGAATGTTGCATTACTGTAAATATTATGAAAATGGGTTTAGAATGGAGAGTTTTTACCAGTGATCTTGTCACCAACAGCCTCATATGCGGAGTCGTCTGCAGAATAAGAGAAGCCAACTCCAATTGGGGACTCCAAATACAACATATTGGCCACTGCAAAACAATGAGATGAAAAAGAAAAGTCAGTAACTGATCAATAAACAAGAACGCACCACAATAAATAGACAAAGTATACCTCTATTCCAGCTATATTCGTTCTTGACCAGCACTTCACCACTAGGCCTAAACGGTCCATTCTC